GATTACCCACTGTTTGGAGGTGGTCGAGTCTCCAATCGTTTAATTAATGCCCCCTTCAACTTTAACCGTTTGGATTCTTTTCGTTTGGATTTTTTAAATGTTACTAAACAAAAGCCATATGAATGTCATAAAATCATTTAGTTTGAGTTTTACTTCCGTATTGTTTTGAAAACATAATTCTCTAACCTGTTGCTTTTATAGGAAAGGTAAATAAATGTTTTGACTCATGTTGGCGGTGGGACGTTTTCCGACGGGAAATTAAAATTTTGTGACAAAAATTAGCGCAAAATTCAGTCTTGTTAAATTAGAGGAGTTTGTTGATTATCTTCATTTATGTAAAAAGATATTAAAATCGATTTATGTTTACAAAAAATCATTATTGTAATGTCAACAATCAAGGTGTTGTTTCCGTAAAAGTATCTAAATATCTAAGTTTACCATATTATGTACACTAGCGCCCCCTGAGGGCGAGACATGCGCGGTAATTTAATTGCATCTCAGCTCCTTACCCGGCTTGATATCTCCTCCCCTGTCGATCAATCTAGGGTCACCGCTTTTCACATTATTAACAGTAATTACCCCACGATATGTGGTGCTGCGATTTAAGTTTGCATCTCTTTATGTTACTGATAAATTGTAAATGCAGCCTGTTTCTAGTTTGTCTAGAATACAAAGACTGCATATTTACAAATTCGGTTAGTGACAAGGACATGGGCATCGTCAGAAAGCCGCCGACTCCAATAGACAACGGATACCTACTTAATTTCGATTCTATTTTAATTATTAACGCGAAAAGTCTTCAAGTGGTAGTTTAGTGTTGATTATAAGAGTTATTTAGTGACTCTGAGTGCGAGTTTTATATATTTAGTAAAATCTTTACAGTGAAGCAAGTGAACGTGTTTCCAACAGGTAAAAAGCCGTTCATTATATAGTTCGTATGTATTGTGTTTTACTTATGCGACGCGCTGCGCTCTCGAGTTTTTATGTCCGTTATCGCCGCAAAGAATGATCAAGGAGGAATTATGTTTGTAAGAAATCTGCGCTCGGTTGCTGTACTTTGTACTCTTTATATAGATGTCTGAAAAGTCCCTTAATGAAACTACAACCTACAAACCACCCTTAGTATTCATTTAACGACTGTGTGAATTTGTTAAGTAAAGTGTATCAATATTTTAGACGACATAAAATAAATCTAAAATAAAATTAAAATTCTTTCTCACTCTAACAACCTATCTATTTCTTTCTAATTAATTTTTAAGAAAAAAATAATGTGCGTATCGATGATATAAAAAAAGTCGTCAAAATCAAAACAAAATCGAAAAGGAAATCGATATATTCGATAGCAGTGACCAGGGCAGCATACGTGACAGGAGGTCGGCTGTCGTATCACGTATCGGCGGTCGCCATTGTTGTACCGCACACGAATATAAAATGGCGTTTGCGTTTGTTCTCACACGAAACTCCGTACAGTTTGGATGTTCACTGCACCAAAATCGCTCCCTTTATCCCGCAGGTCAAATGACTACGTTAGACTAAATGCTTTTTACAGATATTTAAGTATAGAAATTCACACATTTTGAGTATGTAATTTTAATTATTGAAACAAATACTGCTTATCTTATTCAACTTACTTTATAACTAGCTGTTATTCGCGACTTCGCCTGCGAGAAATTAAAAAATATAGCCTATGCTACTCACAGATTAATTAACTTTCAGACGGTGAAAAAAATTTTAAAATCGGTCCAGTAGTTTTAGTTATACAATCAAAAATACAAAAATGGAAATCTTTCCTCTTTATAACATTAGAAAAAAAAGATTCAGTTAAAAAACTAATGCATAAATGTTTTAGATATACTTGAAAATGTGTTTGAAATTAAAGAAATTAAAAATATGAGCTATAATTTCAAAACATAAACGCATTATCCAATTACCTAATTATAAAAAGACATCACGCTACCGAACACCGAATATATATTAATACGAATATCTAAAACTAAGACAGTGGTTATATTAATATTAATTAGTGTTCGGTGCCTTAGAGCCTCAGTGCTTAAGCGCCTCAGCGGCTGAGCGCCTCAGTGCCTCAGCGGCTGAGCAGGGCTCGGCTGCTCTTTAATAAACATGAGGCGCGGCGCAGCTAATAATAAATGAGCCGGCGCAGTGGCCCGCTAGCGATGCGTTAGGGTTGTCAACTATTTACTATTTAAACAATAATTATTAATTTGAATACAGAAAAAATCGACTTTATGTACATGTTTTTTAGATACAATAAGAAATCGACTGAAATTGATATCCTATCTCTCGATCGAAACCTTAGTATCTTCGTTTTTATTCCATTTTATTAAAATACTAGCGGTTGCTTGTCTTCGCCTGCGTGAAATTAAAAAATAGCCTATGTTACTCACTGATAACGTAGCTTTCTAAAGGTGAAAGAATTTTTGAAATCGATCCAGTAGTTTTTGAGATATTTCAATACAAATAAATAAACAAAAATACGAATCTTTTCTCTTTATATTAGTATAGATAACCGATGCTAAACAATAGCAATAAAAAAATTAATCCACTAGTTGTCGAACATGACTTCATCTGCGCCGATTAATATTAAAAATGACTAACTACGCCATGTTTTTTTCAAGACAATGCTTACTATAATGAATATATTCAACTAGCTGTTCCCGTGCGATTTCGTTCGCATAAAATTATGATAATTCAATTTTATTATTTACATGTGTCAAATTATCAATTGCTAATGTCAAAATGACATGATGACATACCTTGGCAACCTTGCTTTCTTGATGTTGGCAACTTATGGTCTCTTTCCCACATTAGAGTTTTTATCCAAAATATTTACCCCCTAAGTTTAACGGCGTGAAAATATATAGCCTAAAGCGTCACGTAAGTATGGGGCTTTTTATTTAGAAATAATTATTTAAAAATATGCTGTAATTGCTGAGATCTTAGGCAACAAAGAAGTGTGTGTTTACGCTTTATTATAATAGTATAGATAGATAAGTAATATAAGAAATAAATATAAGTATAGATTAATCCAAAACGGTTACTTTTAAGTGCATTTCATCTTGTGTCAACAATGACCAGGAAAAAATCTCACTCACCCTGAATAGCCCCGACGGACTCCGGAATTGGTGACGAGACCAGATTAATAAGTGAATTCAAAGAATGTTAATATTTTGTAACGTAAGAAAATGTAACGTAGCCTATGTAAATGTATGGATATACCCATCCGACGAAAATAGTTACATCTTTTATAAGATCTTATAAAGAACTAGCTGTTCCCGTGCAGCTTCATCCGCATGAAATTATAAGATGTAATTTTATTGTTTACATTTGTAAAATTCTCAAATGCAAATGTCAAAACTACCGTTGACCATAATAATCTTGTTCCCTTAATGTTGGCAGCTTGTAGCTTGGTCCCTTTCCCACATTAGGGTTTTTTCCAATTTAGTTACGCCTATGTTTAATAGCGTGAAAATATAGCCTAATGACGTAAGTGTAGGGCTTTTATTAAAAAAGAAATATTCAAAAATATGCTGTAATTGCTGACATCTTGGGCAACAAAGTGTGTGTTTACGCTTT